TGAAGCGTTTACTGCCCGAGCGCCAAGAGCCATAAATTGTACTTCCCCCCCCTCTCCGCCTCTGACAGGTGCATTGATATGCGCGGAGAGAACTCCGGCTGCTTAATAACCACTCCTCCGGCCTCTCGTCCTGCCTTTTATTTATTCGGTATCATATTAGATATTGATCCCCCCGCAGAATTAAGTGTCGTGGACGCATTAGCAGAGGACTTGCTTCATATGAATACAGTCTGCGGCGGGCGGGCGGGCGATCCGATCGAACGCGGTGGCGAGAGCCGGGAACTTCTCGGGACCGGCGCGGAGTTCGGTTGTGCCGCTGCAGACACGTGGGGGGCTTGCATGTGTGCACGCGAAGGCGGGGAGAGCTGGCGGCGAGATCATAAAGAGAGGAGGAGGGAACGTAGAGGGGCCTCCTGATCTAACTACTCTTCGGAGCAGATGGAGAGGGGTCTGAAGGCCATGGGGACGGATGCTTCCCCCTGCCTTGCGCTCAAGGCTGCGGACGAGGCTGACTTCTCTCGTGCTCCTCTTGGGGAAGGGAGCTCGAAGCGCAGACTAGGGTACTCGGCGGCTTCCCTTCGATTCAGCCTCCCACGCTGGCTGCAAAGAATTTGGGCCAAAGGACGGAATGGATATAAGCCGCGCCTTGAGCGTTCCCCACAGAAGCCCGGCTTTTAAGCAGGGGGCCATCCTGGCCAAGCTCAAAAAACTACTCGGCATTTCTTTCGTTTTATGAAGGAAGGGAAGAAGGAAAGCGGGGGGGGGGGAATTCATTCTCTCTCTCTCTCTCTCTCTCTCTCCCCGTGTAGGGGGGAAGGGAGATCTAAAAGATGAGCCACCAAACAGTAGAGCATTGTCCATGTGATTTATGGCCCTTTGCCTCCTTTTAAGGTTCAAGCAGAGTTCACAAGCAGTTGGTATTTCAGAAAAGAAATAAAGCTTCTCAGTTTTGCTGCAATATTGTCTCTGAAGGCCTCTCCTGTGTTGTTTGAGGGGAACCCGGCTTTAGGGGACGAAATGGGAGGCAATGATAGCTTGGAATAAATAGGCTGTGAACAACAGCAATATGATCTTTATGATTCTGGATTATCATTTGGGAACACGCAAATGTTTAAATGCTCTTAATGTTTGGATAAGTAGAAGGTAATTTGGAACCCTTTCTCGGTCCTTCTCCCACGTTCCTCACGTTTCTCCTTCTTAGCAGAATCCTACTAGCATTTCATGACCATTTGATTTCACTCTACACATTTGCTCTGCCTGCATACACACATAAATATCTGCCAGCTGACAATAACACTTTATGTGATAAATAGTGAACACTGGTCCGGAAAATCTCATGCCCAAATAAATTAGAAAATCTTGAAGGTGGCACAAGACGCTGTTGTTTTTGTTGCAGCCGATGAACATTGCTACTAGCCCTCTGAAATTTTGATTTTCTAAGGGTGTGTGCCTTGAAACAGATGGACCAGGCCATGCAACCACCTTCCTTGGCCTATTGTACAAATATTTTATTTGTGTGTGTGTGTGTGTGTGTGTGTGTGTGTGTGTACACTTTTTAAAGCTTATATATATATATAATGTACTAAAAAGTTTTTTAAAACACCTTAAGGAGTCTTAGTAGGATAAACAAAATGTGTCTGAGGAGTCTAGTCTCCTGCTGTTTAAAATGCAGAGTGAATCTTTTCAAACTTCCTAAAGGGCCTGACTACTTTGCAAGTTAAATTGAGGGTAGTAAATTATGACAAACATAGGAAAGCAGAGCAAATTAAGACTATTTTAATGACAAATATGATGTATGATTAATTAAGTCCCAGCCATTATGTCCATAAGTGATTACCAGGAAGACAGCAAACTTTCAAATAAAAATGAAGATACTAGTATATCAGTGCCATTATCTACATAATGATGCAAAGTCACAGGGATTGGTTACTAGTTGGTGTGTGCGCGCCTTTTCAGGGGCATTCAGATGGCTTGGTTGTGGGACCCAAACCTGTCTCATTTGGATGCAAACATGCAGAGATTCAGCAGCAGCCCTTGAGATCCCGCACCTCCCAATTGTCATGTTGCCTATTCAAGGGCTGACTTAGGAACCCACAAAAATGTTACATAGATGGGAAAATATATTTGATGGAGAGGGTTTGTACATTCACAATCTAATCCTGTGCAATTTTACAAAAAGTCCTCCTGAGTTCAGCTGCACTTACAAGAAAGAGTGACTAGGATTGCAGGTGAAAAGTTTAGAATCACTCACTAGAGAGGCTACAGCAAGAAGTGGCCCGCTTGCTGGTTTTGTTCCCACAGGTGAAACCCTTGTGCAGCTTTAGTTAGGAGACACTCCCCAAAGACTGTGGAGCTTCTGAATGAACAGATATGGGATTAGGCCACCTGCCACTCACTTACTCTGAAGTTCATTTAATTGGAATGAGATGGATATTACTTCTAAATTAATTATTGAGGCATTAAGCATTAGCAACCTAGTTTTCATTGACTGCCAGTGTCATTTCTCCTTTTAGGAGACTGTAAACTTCAGAACACATTTTCTGGACATCTCAGTCCCAAACACTTTAAAATAAAGTCCATGAGTTTGCCTTATAAACTTATGCACTGTATGTCTGATACATTGCATTCCAATACAGACTGATATGTATCTGTCTCACTATCTAGTGAGTCTGAATCCTGCTTTTCCTCAAAATTGCTCAGGATATTTTGCACCCCTTCTAGTTTATCCCCATAACAAGCCTACAAGGTGGCTTAATTAGAGATACAAACTGTGACCCACAGTCACCTGGTCAGCTTCCTGGATGAATGGAGATGTGAATCCACATCTTTTTAATCTAGGTCCACAATGGTATCCCATGTTTCATGGCAGATATAAAATATATTGTAGTATATTTGTCCAGAAAGTACTAACTGATATGTAGAGGCATACATCAAAACCAGGACAGAAAGTACAGAAATCCTTTCTGTCCCTTCATTGTCTAAAAAAAAAGAAAAGAAAGAAGTTTATATAGATTCTAGCACAGACCAAACACTACACAGAATACATGAGGAAAACATATGTTGTGTATTGTATAATTTTCTTGAATTAGGAATCCACATAGAGATAAACAGACAGGAAAAGGGTTTCCCACACACACACCCAATGCAAACTCATCTAGTGTAAATTGCCTGCTATGGGGGAGAAAAATGTGAAGTCCGGGGAAATAACCCACAAAAAACCTTGGTTGAAGTGTCTCTAAAGACTAAGAGCCAAGGTAGCTGACCTAAGTATTTTTCTTTATGTTGCAAATGAAAGTTATTGAATGCCCTTAGTTACACTTTAACTTCTTCCAAATCTTCCCAGGAAAAGCAAAACAAAACACTAAGCGACAGAGTATACAATAGAGATGGAATTTTCTCTGGTTTTTCAGTTTTCAATTCTAGTTCAATCCATCATGTCACTACTGGCTCACAAATATTCTTGTGCATGTGTGATGGGGGGGACGACCAAGAGCACTGGAAGGATGAACAAGACAAAAACAAGCAACGACAAAAAATGTTAATACAAAGATCAAATATCTATGATACAGAAATGACTGAGAAACAATATAAAGGAAAGAATACGGTGAAAGAGACAGAAGTGGGTTTCTTAAAGTGAAAAGAATAAAACTAGTAATTTGTTTATTTAAATTGTTGTGTTGTTATGTCAGTCCAAATAATTTCTGACTTATGGTGAACCTATGAATTAGTGACCCTTATTTAAACTTTAACTTCCAACATTTTTCCCGATTAGTCTAGTAAGCCAGGTTTAAACATAACCCTCAAGGGCTTCTTACTTACCTTTTTATGTAAGTCTACTGAACAGTCAATTTCACATCAGTTAGAAGAGTAAGTTAGATTGCCTTTTGAGTTCTGAAAAATCATCCTCAGTATTTATTTTTCAAGGAAGTGGTCATGAAACATTTTACTTCTCTGGTTAAAATGGACAAATAGGAAGCCATAAGGCCCACCTGCACTGCATACCCTGTTTCCCTGAAAATAAGACAGGGTCTTTTATTAACTTTTGCTCCAAAAAATGCATTAGGGCTTATTTTCTTATGTGTGTTTTTTTCATATACAACAATCTACATTTATTCGAATACACCACTCATGTCATCTTTTTCTGGTTGTGGCACAATGGTGGAGGGCAGGGTTTCCCTTGACTGGGGCTTATTTTTGTGGTAGGGCTTATATTACGGGCATCCTGAAAAATCATACTAGGGCTTATTTTCAGGTTAGGTCTTATTTTGTGGGAAATAGGGTAAAAGGACCCATGTCCTTCTGCTAATCTGAGATCAATTTATCTTGTGCTGGACAAGACTTGTATGGTTACCTTTTTGATGTCACAACCACTTGCAAAGCCAACTTGCTCAATTTAATTATTTCAATGGGCTAAATCCAATATTAATCCTACATAGGGCAGACCCACTGAAATGAACAGAACAAGGTAACCCAAACCTGCATCTTTTGTTTTCAATGGCTGATGTTGTAGGTCGGAATACTACTGGATATAGCCCACAGCTGCATCCAGCATCGAGCACTAGTCTGACCCCCCCCCCAATGTCCTTGGCATTCAGGTGTAAAAGCACAAAAGCCACTTCACTTAAGGGTCCTGGACCACTTCCTTCCTATCTGCACCTCTCTACACATCTACAGTGGCAAGAGAAATCTATGAATTGTTTCAGATCCAGATGTAAGGCCTGACTTTTCGGGGGGGGGGGAGTCGGGAGAAGGCAGGAGAGTAAGAGAGAAGATAGGTCCCATGGAAGCCCAGGCCAGTAGTGAATGATGCGGAATGTGTGTCGAGGGGTGTGTGCGAGTGAGAAAGTGGGCCTGAGAAGAAGAGCTCTCTGAGCACAGCAGCTGGGCCCACCCAAGTGTAAGTGTGTGAGAGAATTCCTTGCTGTGGGAAAGGAGGAGCGGGCAGGAGGGAGAATGGGACGAAAAGTTAGTGTTGGATATCGAGGTGATAAAGGGAAGAGGCAGGGTAAGAAATTCTGCTAGTTTCAGTGAAAGCCTAGGTTGGCTAAGGGGTGCCTATGTGGAAGTTAGCAGTGGGCGGGTGGTGACGGCATGCTCGCATAACATCCACCCTGTGGCCCTCCTTATACTTGTGAGGTGTGTATTACACAACAGTCCAAGGATACCTGTTTTTGAGTGCGACAGAGAGAGACTAGAACTCTGCTGTCAACCCACATCTCTTCGGGGCACAGCAGTTCTGTCCCACGAGAGGGGGGACTACTAAAAACCTTGCTCGCCTGCCCCTTGCCTAGCCCGTTAGGAGGTGGCTCCGATGCCTGAACGACCCCCCCAACCATCGGCGCCCTCTGGAAAGCGGTTGTGTGTGTGTGTGTGTTGGGGGGGAGAGCAGACGTCCCGGGGCCCTTCTGGTCTGGCGGCTTCCCTCCCCTCCCCCACGACTGACCCCTCTCTTTGTCTCTCTGTGGCTTCCCCTCCCCCCTCCAGGTGGTGTCGTGGGCCACGCGTGGCCGAAACCCAAGACGTGAGAGGCAGGTGAGGCCGTGCGAGGAGGAAGGCGGCGGTCCATGTTATTTGAGCGGGCTCCCGAGGCCTCGGCGAGCGCAGAGCCCACCATGCAGAAAAGCGCCTACTACGACACCTCGGCGCTCTTCGGCGGCTACGGCGGCTACGGCAAAGCGGACGCCTACGGCTACCCCACCGGCCCGCCGCAGCCCTACGCCCAGCCGGCCCTGGACA